CCCGCGCGCTCGCGCTCGCCGCGCCGGCTCCCGGCTCGGTTCCCGAGGCCCGATCCCCGGGGGCTCGGCCGCCACAGCCCTGTCCCCGCTCAGTGACCAGGCTGGCCGGCCCGGCTCCCCCACGAAGCGCGCCGCACCACGTGATCGCGGCGAAAGGCCCGCGCGTCCCACACGCTCGCGGCCGCAGGGCGGAGTCCTGGGCCGGGAGCTTCGGCTTCGAGGTGGGGACACCTGTGGCTCACGCGTGCCGTTGCTTTCCGGTGGAATAAATAGAATTTTCTATGTGCTTATTACTCGCAGCAATTATTTTTAATGGAATAATACGACACAATGTCATCACTTATGGAATATTGTAGCAAAATTAACTTGCTATGGAGGAATGGTCATGATCTATTCAGAAGGCTGTCCAGAATGATTCCATTTTTGTCATAAAAATAGACATATGAGCATATATAACTAGAATGTGTGTCTACACAATAACTGATTTACTATACCTAGAAATATAACACTGTAACAAACATAAATGTATTGTGTTTTATATATAGCATATAATTTTTAGATAGGTCTGGAAGCGTGCATATTAATGTTGCCTAAACATTTTTTTTTTCTTTTTTGTACAGGGGATCAAACTCAAGACCTTGAGCTTGCCAGGCAGGCACTTACGCCGCCCAGCTATCTCCTCGGCCCTTAAACAGTTTTCTTTAATAGGGAGATTGTAGGCTGTTTTATGTATTTTGTGATTTTTTTTATTTCCTTCTTGTTTTATAATAACGAGTATTTTTAGTTGAGAAGAAAATAAACTTGAAATTCGTTGAGAGCCTAAAGGATGGGCAGAAGGAGCCTGGTATGGTGCCCCCTCGTGGCAACGAGGGTGCACTGCCTTTCGCTGTGGTCCAGCGGCAGTCCGTTTGCCTCATGGTCCTGAGCCTGGGACCCAACGCCTCTCTCCTACTCCACAACTTGGGCCGGAAGTGCACCGGGGGAGCGTCCCAGAGGCGTCCCCTCTCCTATATAAAAATGCACTTGCCTGCGAGCTGTCTTTCCTTCCAATTTGCATGTCCCCTCCACTAGGGCTGGACTCATGTGGGCCTAAAGTTTGTATAATTTGGGGTAAAATTAGGAAGGAAAACAAAACAACAAATGACATGACAAATGTGAAAGTAGGTGCAGGAGAGGCGTTCTGAAGCTCAGAATATTAGTTTCCTGGCAAGAGCCTGGATTTAAAAATTTAAAGAAGATGCAGGGACCGGGATTCGATCCCTGGCGTGCTGTGCTGGACCTGCCCCCAGGGCTGGCTGAGATGGCCATTGAGACTGGGCATGGTGGCGCGCACCTGTAATCCCATTGTTTGGGAGGCTGAAAACAGGAGGATCACTACGAGTTCGATCTGTGTAGTGAGATCCTGTAGACCCTGTACTAAATACAAAAAAGAAAAAAAAAAGTCAGCACAGACCTCAGCTTGGTCTCTGAGACTGGAACACGGGGTGGTGTAGGGATACCTGGGTGTTCGAGACCCGAAGGTTTTGTCGTGAGCTGATTGAAGGCCTTGGACAACCCAGCTGCTCCCGGGGCCTTCTTGCCTTATATTTAAACCAGGAGGTTGGAGTTGATCATTTTGGAATTGTCCTTTCACTAACTCGCTTTAGTACTAGATCCAGCTGAAGACCAGTGCCTCCTCTCTTGCCATGGCCTAGCTGCTGGGCACTGCATGGTTATTTGCTTATGTTCTCATGACCACCCAGGGTTGGCCAGCCCCTTTCCCTAAGTCTTCAGGGGAGCTGCTCCCAGACACCTCGAAGGAGGGTCTTCCTCTTGCTTAACACAATCAGCTCCGTGGTAATGTGCTGGAACTAACCATGCCAGCGACTCGACAATCCGTGTGTTCCTGCTTCGTGGAGGACGTCAACCTAGGATTTAGGAGACCCATCAGAATCCCTCCGAGGTATTGTGGGAGCAGATGATCTGATGCAGTTCTTGTTACCATCCAGTAGGGAGTGCTCTTTTTGAGCAGAATGAAAAGCCAATCCCCAGAGCTGAAATCCAGAATAGCAGTACAGGATTAGCTCTCTGTTCTGGGAGAAAACTGTCAGCAATTTTATGCAGAGAGAAATGCCTTGGGATTAATTTCTTTCAACTGTTAATGTGGGTATGAGAAATATTTACATTTCATTGAGCTCCTCCAGTCCATGTCCCCACGGGCTGTTCTCACTGTTAGCACTGGGTCTCCTGATTGGGCTTGAGTCATAATCTGCTTGCTACACAACTGACAGGAACATATGTGCCATGGAAGAAAGGACGTGATTGTATATATATTAAAGAATGTAAATATTCTTTTTCAAACAGAGCGGGCTTTATAGAGAGCATAATTTGAATTGGATCTTGCAGGATGGGCAGAGTGTTGAGAGACAGAGAGTATTTCAGACGACAAGGTGTGAGCCCAGGGAGGGCCCAGAAAAAAAGCTGAGATTGGAAGGTACAGAGAGCATTTTAGGCACAGAAAAGTTGTCTGGCTAGGCTGGGACTTGGAATAACACTGGAAAATAGGGTGCGTTAGTCAGCTTTCCATGACTCTAACAAAACACTAAGAGGTAGAACCATACAAGGAGAAGGCTTGCTTTGGCTCACTCTTTTCGAGGCTCCTGTCCATGACTGGGCTGCCAGGGCTGCTCTTAGGTCTCTGGTGGAATGCTCGAGGGCCATACCTGAGAGCACAGTGATTTACCTCAGGCCGTGAGGTACCAGAGAACAAGGACGGGGCCGAGGCCCATCATCTCCCTTGAGGCCACACCCGTGGGGACCTTATGACCTCCAATGGCTCCCACCTCCATTTTCTCATACTACTGCCTTGGTAATATGAGAAGCCTTTAACAAAGGGGACTCAGCTAACCATCCCAGCGACTCCCAGCCCAGCTTGAGTGCAAGCTGAACCACGATAGGCTCAAGCTCAAGTGTTAGGAGGGTGTAAACTGGGCGTGGTGGTGCGTGCCTGAGATCCCAGTACTTGGGAGGCTAGGGCAGGAGGATCGCTGTGAGTTGAGGCCAGTGAACTCAAAGGCCTGCACTGCATAGTGAGACCCTGTCTTTAAAAAAAAAAAAAAAAAAAAAAAAAAAATGAAGGTACTTAAACAGTCCTCAGGCTTGATAGCTGGCTGCACAGTGAATAACCCTGGGCTGGTGCTGATGGAGACTTACCTGAGAGGTAGAAGATGCAGCGCAGGAGGGGCTCAGACCGGGAAGAGGCTCCCGCAGGAAGCCAGGCGGGTGACCAAACTAACTGCAGCAGCGGTGAGAACAGAGAGGAAGGTACCAAACCGTGGGAACTGCAAGGATACGGGCTGAGGGTGACCACCCTCTGGCTGTGGAGCTTGTGTGAGGGGTTCTACGAAGCTGAGGAGGGGCACGGCTGCAGCAGAGGTGAGGTGATCAGAAATAAGAGCAGCTTAGAGGCCGGGGAGACGGCTCAGTGGAAGGAGTGCTTCCCTGGCAAGTGCAAGGGCCTGAGTTCAATCCCTGGTTCCCCCTGCAAAAGAAAAAAACACACAAACAATAACACCAAATAGAAGTAAGTGCAGCTTTTAGGAGTGTCCTTTGAACAACATCCGCCTTTGGCATGTGGCCAGGGCCACTTCTGGGTGGTGAAGGCAGAGCCTGGTTCTCAGACCCACACTGTCAGTTTCCAGGGAAGCTTGTGGAGTGCATGGATTTCTAGATCCAAGGTTGACTACATGAAAAATCTCTATGATAGGGAAACATTTTTTAAAAAAATATTTTTAATCAGCTGCGAATGTCTGGTAGCTGGTCTCCAGCCTCTGTTTGCAAAGGGAATAAAGACAACGCCTCTTGGCCTGATAACCAAGGCCTTCCCTGTGTAAGGAAGACTTGGTCTGCACCCTACTCCCCACCTTGTAGGTAGGCACGAGAATTGCCACTTGTGCCTTTCATCAGACTCCCCCATGACCAGATGTCCCCTCGTCTCTCCCAGAGAAGCCCATGACCTGATTATTCCACTGAAATCTTTCCATTCCAATCAAACCCTCAGCAGCCTTGGGCTTATCCAGATGCCAGCGACTTCATCTTGGTACCATGCATTTAGCACTGAGAAAAGAAAAAAGAAAAGACAACCTACCTCATAGATTAGAGATTCCTGCTCGGTGTTCCTAGTACTAAAAAAGCCTGAGATGGCCGGTGAGTTTGAGCCCGGATGTCAGCCCGGGGGGCAGGGAGCACCAGGAGGCCTGAGGCTCAGGTGTGAGAGGGCGCCTGACCCACGAGCCCCCCGTGGGAGCTATGCATTCGGCAAGGATGGATCTTGGTATTCCAGCCGCTTCCTTCTGCCCGAG